TTCCTGCTCTGACTGAAGCGTGTTTCGGTTCAGTTTCAGACATCCTGGACGACATGGCGGAGAGCAGGGAGTGCGTGAACTGCGGCTCCATCTCCACGCCGCTGTGGAGGCGCGACGGCACGGGCCACTTTCTCTGCAACGCCTGCGGCCTTTACAGCAAAATGAATGGCCTGAGCCGGCCATTAATTAAACCCCCGAAACGCACGGTGAGGAGGGATGGGGGGGGGGGCAGACATGTGAGGGACACTCAATCGCTCAATATCATGGTGTCAAACAAGGTAGTGGCAGACGGCAGTGATCAAATTTGGGTATAAAATGAAGTTTTACGCATTTTACGCATAGATTCGTCATTTTCCTCTTAGAGGAAAATCTTAATTTTCTAATATTTTTTAGTTGAAAAGAAGTCATTTAATTTGTTAGTGGCTGATTTTTATGACACAATAACGTCTTGATGACATTTCCTTCCCTAACCGTTCAAAATGTTACTCAAACAGTAAATTAGACGAATGTTTCCTGGCGCCATTACGCACAGTTTTATTTATTTTTACTGGGAAATTAGTTATCACTTATAGGGACTCCCAGAAATTGAACATCCTGTCACAGCTGTCAGTAAATGCCACCTAAATGTACACCACAATAGAGCCCATATTATTGTTAGGAAATAAGTTATTAGCCAAAGTGCGATTTAATCACCCGAACGTGACTCATTTTCTCCCTTTTTTAAATTCCTAAGCCGTAAAAATAAAGATGATTAACTTTTTTTTTTCTGTGCGTCACTAGTCGACCTCCAGACGGATCGGCCTTTGCTGCGCCAACTGCCAGACGAGTACAACCACCTTGTGGCGCAGGAACGCAGAGGGAGAGCCGGTGTGTAACGCATGCGGGCTCTACACGAAACTACACGGGGTGAGTCCAGGTTTTAAAGGAACATTTTCTTTTCCTTGTCTAAGCTGCTTTTACCCTCCAAATTATCTGCTTCTAAACATCTGGTAAATCCTGCAGGTACCTCGGCCGCTCGCCATGAAGAAAGAGGGAATCCAGACAAGAAAAAGGAAACCCAAATCTTTGAATAAAACCAAAGGATCCTCTGGTAAATCACTTGTTTCTTATATAGATGGATAAATGTTGTACAGTTAAACAAAACTAAACACGTGTTGTTTTTTTTAAAGGCAATAACAGCTCTGTGTCCATGACTCCCACATCCACCTCTTCATCTAACTCTGAAGACTGCTCCAAAACCAGTTCTCCCTCTGCACAAGTGTCAGGGGTAAGCCTTTTATAATTCACCTSTTACATTTGGCTCTTGTTGTGCAAAGTAGAGGTAAAATGAGAGTCACACTCTGCACACTCCTTCACTTATTTTTTGGTAAACAAACCTGAACTCAGGCAGTCACATGTGAGCTACTAAGGCGTCGCCTTCTTACCATAAGATGAGCCTCAGATTTCTCAGGATCTGAGATGTTTGGTGTTTGGTTCAGTGCTCGTAATGCAGATGGAATCTGCATCCAAACAACTCCCACTCCCACCGCCGCTTCGCACGAGAGGCACCTTCACCTCAAACTCTACTGACTCCAAACCTCTTTCCTTTGTGCTGCTGTTGCAGGTCAGCTCATCCGTGCTCTCCAGCTCGGGGGAGGGAACCAGCTCGGGCCCGGCGGGGAAGTTCTCGGGACAGGACAGCCTGTACGCCAGCGTGGGTCTGACCCAGAATTCAGACGTAGCTTCGGTGAGGGGCGAACCCTGGTGCCCCATGGCTTTGGCTTAAAAAAAAAAAAGAAAATTCAAAAAAAGAAAAAAAAAGTTGTTTTCTCTGGGTGGACAGAACTCCCTGCACCCCCCTCCGCTACCCCGCCCACCAGATCCTCACCCACTTCTTCTGTCTGGATGCTGGATAACACGTGGATGTGGACACGTTTTGACCCCCACCACCAAAAGGGTGAGATGATCTTCACGCAGCATGAAAACACGGAATATCTGGGATTTTTATTTTCCCAGATTGGTGCTGGGAAAACAAAACGAAACAAAAGAAACAACGGATGGAAACACAAGGTCAGATGATGGTTTCTGGACCCATCGTGGACTCTGATGTCTCCCATTCACGACACAAAACCTGATTCTTTACCGTAAAAACTGCCACCATGAAGGAGTTGCTCACTGAAAAACAAACAAACAAACAAACAAAAAAACTTGGACATCAGTGCTTCATGAAGCACTTCGGACATTTAGATATGCCTCCCCCTCTCACAACTGGAATCACGCCATAAAACAACTTTATGAATCAAAAGTAAAAAAATATATTTATGAATCTTCCAATGTTGAGAACATGATTGTTAATAAAAATATCAAATGTAGAGTAGAAAATGAACCTTTTTGATGTCCTCTTTGCTTTTTCTTTCCTTTAAAAAAATCAGTCGTTAGTATGAAGTAGTGGTAAATCTGCACACATTTTCCACTAAAAGCTCTTACTGATGACTGAAACAAGTTTGGTTTAAACAGGGTATAAATGTCACAAAGTGTTGTTTTTGTTTAATCATTTACTGAAAAAAAAGCAAGTTATTGATTTCTTCTGAGTCATTCTCCACAGCTGTGAGCATCAGAGGTACTTTTCTTTTAAAAACATGCTAAACCAAAAGCTTTTTATTTTAAACTAAGCTCAACCAGAACAGTTTAAGTTTTTTTTTTTACTGATGTTTCTGGTCTAACACGTGAACTGCTGCACTACCTGAATCAATATTAACTTTTATGTGTTTCTCAATCACGTTCTTTGCAAATTAGAACAAAGTGGCGAAAAAGATCATCTGAATAAATTCATGCCGTGATGACTGTGGATGCTGTAGTGAATCAATGTGTTTCTTTAAACGATGCGATCTTTGCAAAACAAACGAAGCAGACTGATTTTTTTTTGCCTTAATTTGTTACAAAAAATATTCTGACTCTGGCACAAGAGCAGGTTTTACAAAATATACATTTATTTTATTTTTTATTCATCCTTGTGAAGCATGCCGTTCACACTTCCAGCCCTATTTATTTCTTTAAATAAACATCCTGCTTTTATTTTTATTTTTTTTCCCTCTATGGAACTGAATGAGAAGTTCTTTTATTTAAACTCAGTCCAATCAATGGTTCAGATGAAACAAATTATTTGGTTTGTTTGAAAAGTTGCGATAAAGGGAGGAAGTTTTGATCTTATCTTTGATTTCAATCCCTGCACCAACTTTGCTTTTTTTTAAGATGTTTTTAATAACAAAAACCAGTGAATGAAAAGCAAGGATTTCGTGCCTTATTTTAAAAAATTCAAATGTTTCCTAAATATAAAACATGAATTGATGCTTACATGCTACAATTTCCTGCTTTTTTATGGGAGACGATTCCTTTAGCTGCATCGTGTTTTTACTGTTTGTTCCATTAAAGCAAACCTTTTATTCCTCCTGACAATATTTTTCTTCATGAGTTTTTTTTATTTCTTTTTTATTCCCCACTTCTGGTCTCCTGGGGGGCTCAAAGCTACTTCCCTATGTCCTCTTGAACCAGCAGCTCAAAGTACCTGTCACAGTGTTTACTGTAACTTAAGAGAATACGACCTGTGAGTAATTCCACATGAAATGATTGCAGAGATGGGGAAGATTTATGTCTGGGCTTAGCGTTATCAGTTTGCTCTTTGACATATTGATCGAGTGCCGTATATTGAGTGTGGAGGAATGTGCTGCGCTGCACAACAGTCTGCGAAGTCCGATGATGGATCTTATAGCAGCAACATGTTTTTCTTTGGCTAAATTCTGACGTTAAATCATCGTCTCCCGCAGCTAAAAGCCCACGGATGGTTATATTTCAGTCACTTTTACAGACACTGACCTAATATTTGGTGTGGTAGTAGCTGAACCTAATCCCCAACATATATTCTGATTGCTAACAGGCTGAGTGAGAGCTTTGTTAAAAATGCTGCTTTTAACAATTCAGCATAGACTCTGCTTTTCTGTTTGCAAAATATCTCGAGAACCACTGGATGGATTTAAGTAAAACTCTCGGAAGGTAATAAATAGAGTTACGTCTTTCACTGATTAACTTTCAGACCTGACACAATTCAAAATGGCTGCCAAAATTACTTGACCTTAGAAAACACAAAAAAGGCCAGAATCCAGTCAATTTTACAAATATTGTGCTAAAAGTTGGTAACGTTGTAGCAGAGTCTAACCTACTGTAACCTCTTAAAAATGCTACTCATTGTCTGAGATTTTTATCGTAAAATTCTTTCACTGTTGGTTAGAGTTGACTCTGTCTGTTAGCAAAATATCTCATGAAAAACAGGTCAGATTTCAGTGAAACTCTCAAAAAATAAATAACGGATGAACATGGACAGCTCATTAACTTTTGGAGTGGATCCAGCTCAAACAGGCTGCCGCAGCTAATCGACAACAACAAACASAAAAATGAATACAACTCAGTCAGTTTTGCAKAWATTGAGCTACAATTTGATGTGCTCGTGAGTCATGCTCAACACATACTCTAAACATATGATATTGCATAAGATCACAAATAACGTTCTTTTCAAGGTTTGACTAAAAGCAACATGAGATGCGCTTTGTTTAAAGCCCTGATCGGAACTCCTTCAAAGAGTGCTAAATCTTTATTATTCTGACAATTAAAATATCCTTCATAAATTTGTATAGTTTTATWGCTCCATGTAAACATTTGAATTACTTGCAACAACTTGCTTTGCACAGTAAAGCAAGTCTTCGAGCGTCCGAGAACATAAATTACAAAACCTCCTTTAAATATGTAAATTCAAGCTGGTGTTGAGCTCAAAACACAAGCAAATATTTAAAGATTTCCTGAATTTATGAGATGGTCCTGCCTTAGCTGGGCCTGATTGGTATCCACGGTGCCATAATGGGGAGGAAACATAAACACAACTGCAGAGAAATCCTCCCTCATCTGGGTAGTTATTCACAGAGTTGAAGGTCACGTTTAAGAGCCGTGAGACTGGAGGACAGAGATGCATCTTTGGAATAAAAAGGAACGTTTGCTCAAGAAAGCTATCGAAAGCTACACAAAACAGAGGAGAGGGGGACACGGAGAGGAAAAGCTGAAAGGCAGAATGGCATCATGGCTCTGCAGGGTTGAAAGTCCTCCCAAAGTAAACAACCCAGCCTGGCCCAGCAGCAGACAGCGGGGCCCCTGGGCTGTTGGGCCACGGGGGCCGTGGCTCGGTGCGTTGCAGTAGCTCCCCCAGGAAATGCCCGTTGATCTTTCCATGCTTCCTTTCAAAGGAGAGCTACGCCGGCTCTGTCTCCGGAAAAGATGGGATCTCTGACTCAGCCCTTTTGGGTTTCCTCGATGGACACAGTGGCATGTTCTGAGAGAGAAAACACTCAGGCGCACAACCTGCGTTCGACACACTGGATTTAGMTTTCCCGATCGGAAAAGATCACACGCCTCTGCACGCCTGTTGTTGTGTGGGGTTGTTATTCTGTGATTTATTAACCTTGACAGATTCATAGAAAGCCGTTTGGTGCTTTCAGAGCTGTGTCCACAGAGATATTAGCCCTCTTAGTTGGCAAACACGTTTGAGACTGAAGCTCCTCCCCCTTGGCCGTGTCAGTCTGTAACAGCCGAGGTAAAGGTTCAACCTCAACACCAATAAACAACGATGAAATAAAACTGAAGCAGCAGGAAACAGAGTGTTGTTGCAACGACGCTCCGATGACATCACGCAGCTATGTATAGTGAGTGTTGCTTTTTACAGGAAAAAACGGGAGTGTGTTCACAGGGATGGGTGCTGCGGTGGGAAGGACACTACTTGTGGAAAAGAATTAAAATGACAGCACGTACCAAGTGTTGTGCGAGAGCTGGAAAATATACAGGTCAGGAACGGGGCGTGACGGGAGGAGGGATGGCTGGATCCAGAACGCAGAGGAAAGACTGAAAGGGAAARTTCAGAGGGATTTGATGTAAGTTGAGAAGGAAACTATTAATTTTCGGTGTGTTGTCAAAAATCTGCTTTACACCATAAAACGTTTTGATCCAGAAAGCGAAGCAGGAAGTCCACCACTAAATCAGAACCAATTGAGTTTAAAAACAAAGGTGAACTTTAAATTGAAATTTCTAGTGTCTTTAAAAATGTTTTTTTTATAAAGATGATGCTTTAAATAACTAGGGGAAAAAAAGGTTATTTTGACCTCTTGTACCCAGGATCTCATTCTTTCAGTCATGATCCGCTCCTCATGAAGTTGAGTGTTGAAATGTAAACAGACCAGTAAATCAAGAGCTTTGTATTTCGACTCAGCTCTTTCTTCACCACGACGGACCGAAGCAACACCCTCATTACTGAGGATGAGACTCCAATTAGTCGATACATCTCCAGCTCCATCCTATCACTCATAAGCAAGACACCAAGCTATTATATTAGACCATTAAATATAAATTAATAATCAGAGAAACATAAAGTCTATTTTAATCTGAAACATATATTACAGCTAAAAATATATCACCTATAGGAATCATACTTGATTTATTTTTCAAACACTTAGTTTTACTCAGATATAAGGGCTATAAATATTCCATAAAAAGAGATGTTTGCATCTCACATCACGTTGATGGTTCTTTGAGATGTTGACAAAAATCCAACAGTATCGACTAAAGCAAATATGTTTGCAGCTGATGATCAAAGTGCAAGTCAATTTCTGTTTGTGTTTCTGAGAAACCCCATTTTCTCCCTTCCCTTACCTAAACACTTTGACCTGTCCGAATCAAAAGCTGCAGAGGTTTAACTCCTGCGTTTTTTCAGAAAATAGAACCTTACTTCAACAGATCAGGCACTACAGGCACAGCGAACAAAGCTTGATTTTGACGTGTAAACATTTAGGACAAATAAAACGATGCTGCCAGAGAAAAGCAGCGCCACATTTCTTGTTTGTTTAATCTGTTGTTCCTCCTAATGGGGCAGGTTTCTGGGAACTTTCTGGTATGAGTAATCTGTCGTAATTATTGACATATAACTGTAAAGGTTGGGCAGCTCAAAGTGTGTGCTTCCACCTACTTAAGTTGATGGTTATTTCGCACAAACAGTTTCGAAGTTGGTCATGGAGGGACATCTTGAATTAGCTCCAAAAGCTGATCCAATGAGCTACATTGACGGATTATTTCAAGGAAGTTTATTTAAATCTGACTCCCAAGCATTGTTTTTGTCTGATTCAACTAGCTCTGATGCAACCTGCATGTGCAAAAAAATGACAACACATTCAGCTCTGTGTTTACAGAAGTAGGCTAAGTATGGATGCTACTTGTTAGCACGTCAACTCTGAAGTTGTTGCACAATCAGAGCCACTTAAATAAATATCTGACRTGCTTGTTTAGTTCACTGTTTACATTTGAACATGCCTCTTTCTGGCTGCTCTGGTACAGCATGCATCAACGGGCTGAAATCATGTTTGTGGATTCTCAGTCATCCAGGACATGGAAAATTTAAATCTAAAAAGACAAATCAGCTGGAATTCTGCACTTTGTCAAACGAACTAAACTCTGTGAACAACATGTTCCCTCCCTCGCCTGTGGGGGAGCTGCACCAAGATTCACTGAACGAGTCGACACGAAAACCTCAGAAGAAGACACGGAGCGCAACTTCCTTCTTCGCAAAATGTAAACAAACATGGAGTGACGTCAGATTTTAGTGGTTAAATATTTGATCTTTTGGTTTTGGCAAATGTGTGAAACATTCTTCAACAATGAGCTCAAGATGAACGGAAGATGAGGCRGAACCTCGGATAATACAGTTTTCCCACACAAGGCGGTAGAGACGGCTCATGAAGCGGCATTTGAGCAGGAGCACGTCCACCTTCACAGTAGCCGCGTTTCCATTGACCATGAAAATACGCAAATTAGAATTTTGAAAATAAATTTTGGTTTTGCACTCGGATGAGGTGGTTTTTCGGCCGTATTGAAATTGGTGYATTTCGCAAAACTGCAATGGAAACACTTTTTTCGCATCACGGGAGTCACATGATCAAGAMCCGGCTGTTTCTACCAAGTAGGGGTCTCTTCGGACGAGTGGGCGTGTTACAAGGAAAGGCAATTCTAAAGTGACACACCTGATTTGACGGACTTTGTTAAAGGGACACACCTGATTGGACAAGCAAAAAAGGGGCGATAGCGTGCGGCACCACCTCGTTGGACATGAACAAAAGGGGCGTTATTGTACGGCACCACTTTTTCTGGGGACCCCTACTTGGGTCACATTTCTCCTGGTTAACCTTAGTGTTGGGGTCAGAGTCAGGCTGTAAAGACATCAAGCAGGATCCAAGGATACCGTCATGTAGGCCTCATAGCCTATAGTGTTCATGCTTTTGACACGCCCACTCTTGTGACACGCCCACTTTGATTCCGCAGATAACCCCTTCTTGTTTCTACTGGCGAAAAAGACAACAAAGGAGAAGACA